TGTGTGTGTGTGTGTGGTGTGTGTGTGTGTGTGTGTGTGTGTGTGTGTGTGTGTGTGTGTGTCTGCCTGTCTGCCTGTCTGCCTGTCTGTACGTCGCCTCTCATCCGCCTCCCCCCCCCCCTCTTCCTCAAATCGCCAACCCCAGGGCGTGGAGGATGAGATGGATGAAGAAACCGTGGGTGATGACGGCCACCATCACCGAAGCGCATCTGTCTCCTCCTCCAGCAGCTACGCCGTGTTCAGGGGCTTTCGCCACCGCGCCGACCACCCAAACCTGAAAGGATACATGTACAAACGTGCGTAGGGTGTGTGCGTGGATGAGTGGAAGGGTGGGTGCGTGTCTGTGGGTGTGGGTGCGTGGATGGGTGGATGGGGAGATAGGGGGGCAGAAGTGTGGCATGTTTCGCTTCACATGCGCGTGCGTGCTTGAACGTGCGTTGCCCTGTATGATCCCTCTGCCACGATTGATGACTGTTTCCTTCTGCTTCACACCAGTTGGTGGCATCATCAAGAACTGGCGCTACCGCTGGTTCTTCCTGGATGTTCCGCGACTGGAGATCCGCTACTACCGTCCGCCCGACAACCAAGAGCTCCTCGGCAAGGTGCGAGTGTGTGTGTGTGTGTCTGCGACTCTGCGGCCTTGCATCTCTTATCCCTTTAGCTGGAGATGTCTCACACTCGTCATCTGATGGCCATCCCCACCACCAGATTGACCTGCGAGATGTGACAGCCGTCGAGTACACACAACGCTACAGCGGCAACAACGTAAGCTCCATGATGAGTGTGTGTGCGTGTTGTGTTGTGGTGCTTTGAGGGTAGCGTGCACAAATGCACGTGACTGCACCCTCCCCTCCCTCCCTCACTCACTCACTCACATTTACGCACACACTCACTGACTCACGTTTACGCACACACTCACTCACTCACATTTACGCACACACTCACTCACTCACGTTTACGCACACACTCACTCACTCACTCACATTTACGCACACACTCACTCACTCACTGCACCCCTCCGTCCCTCACTCACTGACACAACACGCGCACACGTGCTCACCACAGGGCCTGTTTGTGAAGCTGGTGACGAAGAAGAGGACATGGGTGCTGAAGCCACTGTCCAAGGAGATGTGGGTGGAATGGCTGAGCGTGCTCATGGACGTGTGTCCAAACCTGGCCCAGCGCACAGCCCTGCCCACGACGCTGCTGCCCACCATCAACGAAGCGCATTCTTCCTCTGCTCCGCGCGAAGCGGAAGCCTGATGTCCGTTACTCTCCCCAAAATGCGTCAGAGTGCTGCGGGCGAAGCATCTGCCCCTCGCTCGGCTGTGATAATATAAGTTTCGCACACAAATGTTGCGAAAGCACGCAGTAAACTGCTCAGTTGTCTTTATCCACCTGATCCACTGTCACCAAGCATGACAGACGAGTGCGAGTGAGTGGCTGTGGCACAGGATGGCACAAGCGATGTGTGGAATGGCTGCTGGGGTATGTATGTGCGTCAACGGCGCCCCCGCCTCCCCCCACAACGGAGGCGAACGGGCACTAAACCCGTGCGGTGATGCGCCAGTGCGCCAATCACACAGCGCAGCCACTCACCCAAACAGCGCGCCGCTCACGCATCGATACAGACCAAGACGAACAGGACGACCACGCTAGCTAGCAGCTGGTGGTGGTGGGTGTGCTCAACAGCGCAGCGGACTGCGGTTGCTTGATTAGTTCCCACTGGCATTGCTGCTGTTGGAGTGAAACGCCGCATCGACAGGAGCCACAAACGCAACACAGCAGCTCGTGGTTCGTATCATCCTCCCGTACCCTTTTTGCTGCTGCATTCTTGCTTCGCTTCGTTGTTGCTCGACGTGACCTCGGCATGGTATGCACGCATGCTGTTTCCTTTGTTGTTGTGCGATGACACACACACACACACACACACACACACACACACACACACACACACACACACACACACAAAACTACTCACTCCGCTCCCCTGCCCACTGCCTGCTCATCCATTTGCGCATGTGTACATCCACCACTCACGTCCACACTCACGCACGCACTCACATACTCGTACACGTACGCATGCACACACACGCACACGCAACCCATAAACACACACACACACACACAAACACAAACATGCGCGCACGCGCACCCACACATACCTTACACATCAAACACCATTGTGTCTCGACAGAGCATGATGACGAGCGCGGATGGCGCATCGCGTGCGCCAGTGGCAGCTGCCGCGGCTGAGAGCGCCCAAGATGCATGGGCTGAGGTGAACGAGTGCTTGGCCAGCCACGGCTATCGCCCCGTGCGGCTCGTGGCGGCGGCCAGCCCTGAAGTGGAGGGCCTCACTGTCCTGCGCGAAGACTCGGCAGCCAGCCTTCGACAAATGATCCTGCAGATCATCGCCGACAACGACCGGCGCGCCAGCGTCGTGCGGCGCCTCAGCAGCGAAATCACCCGCGCCAAGCAGGCCAAGCACAGCAGCGCGGAGAAGGTGAGGGCCATCGGTGCGCAGCTGGAAGCGGTGAACGAAACCCTCGAAGCCGAACGCGAGGCCGTCCAGCGCGAGGCCGACATGCGCAAGGCAGAGCAGGAGCACGCAGCCAGTACGCAGTACAAGCTGGAGGCACGCATCACCCAGCTGCAAGGAAAGCTCAAGTTCACGCAGGCGCAGAACGACCGCCTGCAGCACGACGTGGAGCGACTCTCGCAGCAAGTGCGGGACGCACAGGCGGCAGACACAGCACGCCGGCAGCGACTGGACCAGGTGTACAGCGACCTGCAACAGCAGCGCGTGCTGGGCGGCTCCTCTGGCACACCTGCGGACCGGCACGTGCTGCAAGTTGTGGAGATGTACGAGGCGAAGATGGAAGCGCTGCTGCAAGAACTGGAGGCGCTGCGCCCGCCATCATCGCTCTCGCTCTCCCTTCGTGGCAGCGGCGGTACGCCATCGCAATCGCCCACACGAAGCGGCGGCGGCGGCAGCAGCGGAAGCAACGGCGACGGCGATTCGCAAGCGTCGTCATCACACGTCGAGCATCTGGAGAAGGTGCTGGCGGAGGAGCGGGCGCACGTGTCGTCACTGCAGATGCAGCTCAAGGCCAAGGAGCTCGAGATGAGCGCCCTGCCCACACAGACGGGGTGGCGGGAAGCGCAGGAGCGGATCGCAACGCTGGAGGACGACCTCGCCCATATGCGTCGACACCTTCAACAGCAGCCCAGTTCCACGGCAGGTGGTGGGCAGCAGCACGGCACGTCATCTGCACTTGATGCTCTCGTGCGTGGTGATCTGTTCCCACCCTCTCAATCCGCCGACCACCACCAGCAGCACCAGCAGCACCAGCAGCAGTCAACACATGGCGCAGAGTACTACAAGTTCCACCTGTACAAGCTGCGGTCGATGGGCAAGGACAAGCTGCGGGGCGTGCTGAGCGACGTGTGCCGGCTGATGAACGTCAGCCCAGAGGAAATTGTGCCCACGCTGTCCAAGTGGTCTGCGCTTGTGTTCCAAGCGGGCGCAATGCACAGCGTGCTGCGGCAGCTCCAGTCCACGGCAGCGGCACTGCTGCACCAGCAGAGGCAGCAGCACGATGGCCCTGTAGGCCATGACAATGGTGACGCGCACCTCGGTGCCGGTGACCGACTGTCAGCTGCACGTGATGCAGACATGTTCCTGGTGTTGCGAGGGGGCGGTGGTGGCGATGCTCTGTCACCCACGATCGATCCGCTGTCATCAACAACAACAACGGCAGCACTGGGTGGGCACACTGGCGATGCGCCGTCGTCATCATCGCCGTCGTCGCCGCCGCCGCTGCCTGTGAGCCAGGCGCTGGACGTTGTGTGTCGAGTGGCGATGAAGGCGAACGACTACAAGCACAAGCTTGCATCGACGTCACACGCGCTCAAGCTGATCGCGGGCGGGGTGTACCCGGTGTTTGGACGGCAGCTGGACGCCAACGACTCCATTGACGATTTGGTGGAGCGGGTGATGGTGCTGTGCGACAACCACACGCAGCTGCAGCGCCGGCTGGACATGCACGAGGCCGCCGGGAGGTCCGCTGCCTCACCACGCCGCGATTCAGAACGCGTATTGCAGCACGCGCAGATGCTGTTTGGGGTGACGGAGCCGTCGGCACTGATTCCCGTGTGGAGCCACATCCGCGGTCGCCTCAACGCCAGTCGCCAGGCGCTCGCCTCCATCTGCGATGTGTTGAATGTGCCCCAACGCTCCATGAGCCCGGATCGCGTCGCACACAGCACCGCCACCATCATCAGCAACTTGGTGAGTCACTAGTTGTGTGTGTATGTATTTGTGTGTGTGTGTGTGTGTGTGTGTGTGTGTTTGGGGTGTGGTTTGTGGGAGTGCGTATATGTGTATATGTGTGTGCGGGTTTCGAGAGAGAGTGTGTGTGTGTGTGTGTGTTTGTTGGCCTGTCTGCCTGTGTGTGTGTGTGTGTGTGTGTGTGCCAATCAGAAGGCTTCCACAAGTGCGTGTTTTGTGATTGACGCTTCTAATTTCTTCAACTCGTTGGCTATCACTGTCCCCACGCAGAAACAAGAGGTCATGTCAAACAAGCGCCGCCTGGAGGATGTAGCTCTGGTGCGTTCATATGTGTGCGTGGAACCGAACCGTCGCACCGCATTTTCTGCCGAATCCACATCACCTCTGCAAGCGAGCTCATCTGTGTCATTGCTGTTTGTATTCACAACAGGCATTGGACTGCAAGCCCTCGGAGATTTACCCTTGCGTCCACAGGTCTGTTTACACGCTGAGACTGTCACCATGTTATGACAACACACACGCACACACATACACACGCATACACACACACACACTTGCGCCCATGCGCAAGTCTTCTCTTTCTTGTGCTTTTGTCTCTTCAACTCTCGAACGCCACCCTCATTGCCTCACCCGTTTCGCCACCACTTGTCCTGCTCCCCCCCCCCCTCCATTTCTTCTACCTTGCAGCGTGATGGCCCGTCTTCGCCAATACGACGCCGTTCTCCCCATTCTTCGCAACTGGATCGACACGGTGCTCAGCCTGTGCGGCGTGAACACGCTGGAACAGGCCATTCAGTACCTCACCAAGATCACGGACGCCAACGGACCCGCCACCCCCGAGAAGCCGCCGCGTACCTCTTCCTCTGCCGCATCCACACCCGAACAGCAGCAGCAGCAGCAGCAAACAGGCGCGGGTGAGAAGGTTGTGTCTCCATCGCAGTCGCAGCTCAGAAACGAGCCCTCGTCAGCACTCCTGGGGCGGCTGGATGCAACCGCGCGTGGTGGTGCGCTGGGTGGCGGCGGTGGTGGTGACTCGTCCCCACAAACGTCCCCGCCCGCCGCTCACGGCAGCCCACACGCTCCACCGATCTCGCGGCGCCGGGCACCGGGCAGCCACTACGCGACATCGCCGCCGTCGTCTGTGGAGGAACTGCTTGACGATCTGGCACAGTTTGACCTGGAGGCGAGCTTCGTCTCGTCGTCGCAGCAAGACCGCCCAGAGGACGACAACTTTGTGCTTGAGGCGTGCGAGCACTTTCTGTCATCGCCAGATGTCTCGTCGCAGGAGGACTCGCCCCCACGGCACGATGGCGTGCGCCTCCGTGGCGCTGATGGTGGCGAGGGCGCCGATGACGATGATGGTACCACGATGGATGAGGCCGGTGGTGAATTTGGGGAGGACGACGACGACGTCAACGCGACGCTGCAGCCGCAGTCACTCTCTGACGACTCCAACGCCCAAAGCGCAGATGACATGGCCTCCCTCGACCACCAGCAGCTCTTGACACCGCCACGTGGCACGGCATCGAGCATGCGCAGCCGCCGCCGCGGCCATGGCAACTCACAGCTGAGCGTGTCTTCGTCAGCCACAGGCGCCAGCCCCCTCCACAGAACACCAACGTACTCGTCACCAACACACCGACATGCACCTTCGGACCGGCGACATGCTACTCCAACAAGCCAGCGACAGCGCATGGCGTTGGCCATGCGCGGTGTGAGCAATGAAGGCAGTAACAACGGGCGCAATGATGGTGGTGGCCCGCAGCCGGCACGCGAACTCCGCTTCCGCCGACACGATCACCTGCCAGGACGTGCTGGTGATGAGACGGACGGGTCCTCGTCAACGATCACGCCGTCACGCAACCGCAGGGACAGATTCAGCAGCAGCGCCGAGAGCACGGTCGTGGAAGGGCGAGTGGGCACAGATGCAGACTCACAGCAACACGACAACAGCGGACAGCTGTCGCGCTTGCTGTTGTCGCAACTCGATGACAGCAACGGCATGGACGGCAGCGAGGTGGAAGCCCAGGGACCGGGATCGCCTGCGTCTGGCCGTGGTGGCACGGGCACCCCATTCGCAACACCAACACGATCAGCGACAGCGACAACCAGCCCGGCGCTGACGTCCACAACAACCATGACAACAACAACCACGACAACCGCCACTGCAGGCACAAAGCGGGTGACGTTTTCTGATGATCCTGATGACGTGTTTTGCTACCAGCGGGTGTCGAGTGGCGATGACTCGCCGCCACGCTCGCCTCGAATGGTGCAGGTGAGCGCTGGTGGCACACAGTCGGGCCGGCCGCACCTCGAGAGCGTTCCGGAGGGAAGGGAGGAAAGCGCGTCAGAGACAGGCGAGCAGGTGCAGCATTACACTTCTTCTCTGGGACCGCAGGGTGAGCCACAGCACCGCTCACATTATGCAACCTCGCCACTGTCTCCCCGGGCCTGGGCGCAACAGACAATGCGCCTGCCCTCCAGGGATGACCAGCGGCAACGGGTCAGCGGAGATGACGGCACTCAGGGCATCTTGATTGGCACCAACAACAGCAACAGCAACAGCAACAGCAACAACAGTGGAAGCAACGAGGACCAGTTGAGCGCGGACTGGGACTCGCCAAGCGGGCGCGAGCTGACGCTGAGCGACTTGCTGCTTGACGAAACGGCTAGCAACAGCAGCGCAGCGACAGCCACAAACATGCCAACGACAACGGCCGCAAGCCACGCGCGAGCTGGTGATGCTGACGACTCGACGGACGCCACCTCTGCGCTGGGTGCGACCATGGGGGTGAGAAGAAGCCCCCACTCAGCAGCAGCACCGCGCCACACGGCAACGGTCCCCACAACAGCAAGGACATCTGCCAGCGATGGCGCGAGCCCTACGCCTCGACGAACGGCACGGGAGGCGCTTGCGATGACGATGCGGCTGCCTCTTTCGAGCCGATTTGGCCGGCACTTGGACGAGTCCACGACGAGTGCCGAGGGCGATGAGGCAGCAAGGTGGCGCGTACCCCCCGTCCGACGACGCCAGACTGCCAGCCACCGTCGCCAGCTCGAAGCGTCACAAATGTCAGCGACTGCAACGGTGACAGCAAGAGCCGGCCGGGAGGGATCGCGGGTGGCGCGTACGCCCGATGCGTCTACGGCTCGCAGTTTGCAGCAACAGCAACAGCAACAACTTCAGGGTGAAGATGGGGAAGCATTTGTGAGGCGGCGACGGCGGCGCAAGGCAGACGTGCCCACGTCATCGATTGACGGCAGGCGGCTCAACGTGTCGACGTCGGGAGGATCTGAAGGCACCTCATCACCCACGCTGCGCGCAGCCACCATGACTGCGGGGCCCTGCGACGGCGCCAACAGCCAAATGGGGAGCAGCAGTGCGCGCAGCGCTGTGAGCGGGGGCAGCGGCAGCAGCAGCTATCACAGCGAGCAAACATGGGGCCGGCAGCAAGGAAGGCGGGGCGTGATGGAAGGCGACTCGCTTCGGCGGTCTATGGATGGGCGCAGTGTGAATGCCGGTGGGCAGAGGGCCCGAGCAGAAGCGGAGACGCATGAGGAAGAAGGGTCTGTCTCGGAGCGCCTGCGAAAGGAAGAAGAGGACCACTGGCGCGAGATGCGACGGTTGGCTGAAGCGATTGACGACAAGAACTTTTCGCCTTCGTCACCACCGTCCTCCCGCAACAGCAGCGATGCCGAGGATGCTGCGGGCAACGCCGCCCATGGAGTCACCAACAACGCCAGCGGCAGCAACGCGTAATCGACGGTGTGAGGGAGTGGGTGTGTATGCATGTGGGTGAGCGTGTACTTGCTTGGGATTCGTTCTTCACCAGAAATAGGTCGGCGTAGTGTCACGTCTGTCACATCACTTTGTTCATGGATTTTGTGAGCGACGATGATAGTGTTGTGCAAACCGGGGTGTACGAGTGTGATGTAAACAGTTCAGCAAAGTCAATGGGAGAATTAGGGATACATGGTGGGGACGAGATACTGTCGGCACAGAGAGAGGGAGAGGGAGCGAGAGAGGGAGGGTGAGACCTTAAGTCAGACATGCACACATAATGCAACAGAGCGAGAGAGCCAGTCGCGCACACACACACAGCGGTTACTGAAGAATTGCATGTGTGTTGGCGAATAATCTTTCGCCAGCGTGGGTGACAGCGGACAAGGAACACCTACCATGGCAAGGAAGGGCAAGAGCAGGAAGAGCGGGAGGTCGTCACTGGCATCGTCAACGACAGCCTCGGCGCCAGGCACCCCACACGCAGCAGACTCCCGTCCGCGTCTGTGCAAACCTGGAAAGCTGTCAAAACCCCTCCCACCAGGCTCCGTTGTCATCAGGTGAGACGAATATGTGCGTGCGTATGCGTATGCGGGTGTGTGTGTGCCTGTGTCTGTGTGTGTGTGTGTCTGTGTCTGTGTCTGTGTCTGTGTCTGTGTCTGTATGTGTATCTATCTGTCTGTATCTGACTGTATGTGTATCTATCTGTCTGTCTGTCTGTATCTGTGTGTCTATCTGTCTGTCTGTCTGTATCTGTGTGTCTATCTGTCTATCTGTCTATCTGTCTGTCTGTCTGTCTGCGTGTGTGCGTGATCTGGCCGTGTGATCTGGCTCTGTGTGTTTGTGTGTGTGTGTGTTTCTGTGTTATCAATGCAGGTGCCATCGCCCCTTTGAATGCAGTCGCTCTCGTAGCCATGGCTGCCCGTTCTACTATTGCATGTTGCGCATCGTCCACCATCCATCCGCTGCATGTTGGCTCACCAGACTCGGATTCTCAACACATTTGTCTTGAATGCAGCTCAAGCTGGCAGCAAGAGCTTGGCCTGAAGCTCTTTGACTACGTGCTCCTTAGCTTTCCCGATGCTTCTTCAACAAATGGCGACTCACAGCAACACCCTGTACGTGTGTGTATTTGTTTGTTTGTTATTTGTGTGTGTGTGTGTGCGTGCATGCGCGCGCGCTTGTGTGTGTGTGTGTGTGTGTGTGTATTTGTTTGTTTGTTTATTTGTGCGTGTGTGTGTGTGTATTTGTTTGTTTGTTTATTGTGCGTGTGCGTGTGTGTGTAGCTTCCTTGTTCCTCTTTCTCTCTGTGCCTGTCTCCGCCTCTGCACATATCGCTGTGTCTGCCTCTGCTTGGTCGGAAACAAGCAACTGATGTTTGGGCATGTGTTGCAGGCTGTCATCGCTCGGGTGCTTCCGCATTTCAGCACTCGCAAGCGCGTCGTGCTGTCACCTGATCTTCGAGAATCGTTTCAGCTGCCAATGGGTCAGTTGTCATCGAGAGTGCACCGTGCATACGGTGTGGTAAAGTGCCGTATGGACCAAGGCCCTGCTTTATCGGGAACATGCGCGCTGTACTTTTTGCTCGCCGTCTTCCTTCTCACAACACACGGTGCTTTACTCGTGCAGATGCGCTTGTCTCCGTGGACCCGTTACCGGCTGCCCTGCCGTTTGCGCACACTGTGGTGCTTTCCGGTGAAGGGTTTAACACGACGGATGTGGATGTCCTGGCTGATTCCGTGCACACGCGCCTGCTCGGCCTTGCTGTCACAAAGGCACGTGTGTGTGTGTGTGTGTGTGTGTCTGTGTCTGTGTGTCTGTTTGTGTGTGTGTGTGTGTGTGTGTGTGTGTGTGTGTGCGTGTGTGTGTGCGTGTGTGTGTGTGACGTGTGATGTGTGATGTGTGCTGTGTGTGTGTGTCTATCCGTCTGCTTATCTGTCTCTGTCTGTCTGTCTGTCTGCCTGTGTCTCTCTGTCTCTGTCTGTCTGTCTCCCTGTCTGCCAGTATGTCTCTCTATCTGCTTGTCTGTCTGTGTACCTATGTTGTCCGCGGTGGCTCGTTGCTGAATCCCCTCGTGTTGGCCACGCTATGCTTTTGGCACTGCGGCAACGCCTGCGTGCGCCTGCAGGATCAGAGGTTCAAAATCCCGTTCATGGGCGGCCACTTGGGGTTGACGGTGTCGAGCATTTCATGCGGCGACTCCGCATCGCGCCCGTCGCTGCCACCGGTGCCATCACCATCACCTCCCTCACCATCTCACACCGCTTCGGCCCCGTCGACAGCAGCCGAGCAGGACTCAGGTGCACGCGGTGGCGATGTAGCAAAAGAGGACGGCGACGGTGACGCCAAAGATCCCAGCCAGGTTCGTTGTGCTTCTGTTGCTGGGCCGCGAAGCGACTTGCTTGCATGTCGATGGTTGTGTGTATGTGTGCGATAGTTGCTCGTGCATGGACGCATGTGATGCACACACGTGATGCGCAGTACATTTGGAGTTTTGATCGCACTCATGGGCGCACGCTCTGCTGCACACGCGCATACATCCACACTCACTGTCCTGGCTCAATTTCCTACGCGAGAAAGATGAACGCATCGACATTTGATGCCGTCAGGCGATTTGCAATCATCACTGCGCGCACACGCATCAGCATAGCTCAGCCTGAAGCGATGAAACAGAAGGAACAGCGGCAACGCGTGCACGCCTCGGCATCTGCGGATGTGTCATATGCAGATGTCGGTGGCCTCGCGCACCAGGTACTCACTTCATTGTTACTGCCTGTTGTTGTTGTTGTTCTTGGTTTTTCTTGTTGTTCTTTCTTGTTGTTCTTGTTCTTGTTCTTGTTCTTGTTGTTTGCTGTTGTTTTGTTCTTGCTTTTGTTCTTGTTGTTCCTGTTGTTATCTTTAGTGTTGTTCTCGCTCTTGTTCTTGTTCTCGTTCTTGTTCTTGTTCTTGCTGTTCTGGCCTGCTACGTGCCTCATGCGTTCTGCTTTCCTGTGCTCGCTTGGCAGCTGCAAGAAGTTCGGGACACTGTCGAGCTTGCGCTACAGAATCCGCAGATCTTCACGCAATACGGACTAGCTCCTCCGCGGGGCGTGCTGCTGGTTGGCCCACCAGGTCAGTGCAGACAATGCGCGATGAACCTAGAGTTGTAGCGGAAGACCAGCCATGAGTTGTTTGCCTCCACCTATTCCCACCAATCCCCAACACTTTTGTTACTTGTGCTAATGACTTCCGCTCACCCTCCTCCATTTCCACTTGCACATACCCATGCCTTATTGCTGCTCTTCGTTCTGTTCTTGCCTTGCTCTCTCCCTTCCGGGCCTTACACCCACCTGCTCATTTAACGTGTGCGTGCAGGCACGGGCAAGACGCTGATTGCGCGGGCCGTAGCGCGCGAGTGCGGGGCGGACGTGACGGTCATCAACGGGCCAGAGATCATCTCGCGCACATATGGCGAAACGGAACGCAGTCTCAAGGCCATCTTCGCAAAGGTGAGGCGAATGTGTCTTGCAGACCTTGTGAGGGAGCCGTGGATTAACAGAAGAGGAACAAATGCGTCTTCTCGTGGTGGTGTCGTCAGGTGTTGCACCAACTCCGTGCTGCCATTCACACACTTGAGACAATGAACCAGCGTCCCCTCAACTAACATGTCGTGACACACGCCACCCACCACACACATATTATTGTGCTGTTGTGAATGCTTAGGCGGCACCGTCTGGTCGCCACCTCATCTTTGTTGACGAAATTGATGCCATGTGTCCTGCCCGAGACGCCGCAACCAGGTGTGTGTCTGCTGTGTCTGTCTGTGTCTACATGTGTGAGCGAGATGAAGAGAGAGAGGGTGTGTGTCTTTTGTCTGTCTGTGTGTTTTTCTGTCCGTCTGTCTGTCTGTGTGTTTTCTGTGTCTGTCTGTATTGGTTTGTAGCATGCTGCCGTTCTTTTTTTTTGGGGGGGGGGGGGGGGGGCTGCATATGTATACGTTCCCATAACACCGCGCGTTGCTGTGCAGTGATCTTGAGAAGCGAATTGTGACGACGATGCTCACGCTCATGGACGGCATCGCGGCAAAACACTCCGACGGCGAAGGTGTGCACACATCCACCTTCACATGTGTACATATCTTACCTTTGATTGCACACCATCACCGCCCTCAGTTTGGGAACGATGCGCCATAGGCTTTTATGCTGAAGTCTGAGACATTGACAAGCATGCATGTGTGTGTGTGTTTGTGCGTCTCACAGGACGGGTTGTGGTGCTGGCGGCCACCAACCGCCCCGACGCGCTTGACCCCGCGCTCCGCCGCCCTGGCAGATTTGACCGTGAAGTCGACGTTGGTGTTCCAAACGCAATGTATGTCAGACACCCATGACAACCGCATTTGCAAGAGTGTGTGTGTGTGTGCGTATGTATGTGTGTGCGTATGTATGTGTGTGTGCCTGCGCTTTGATTTGGCTCTGCGTGTTCATCCCTGCGTGTACGTTGACTTGTGTGTGTGTGTGTGTGTGTGTGCAGGCAGCGACGGCAAATACTGCGGGTGCTGCTTCGTCGGTTCAACCACACGTGCACAGATGAAGACATTGACGACGTCGCTGATCGCGCGCACGGCTACGTTGGCGCGGACCTCGCGGCAGTGTGCAGGGTGCGTCACGAAGGGTATTGCAGTCACCGCTTGTGACACGGTTTTAAGTCTGGCATACGACGCATGTACATATGCTCGCTGTTTTGTGTGTCGTACGTACGCTTGCATCATCATCCCCACCGATTCCCAATGCAGGCTCTCACACGTGCACACACACGTGTGCGTATGTGCACAGGAGGCTGGGCTGAGTATCGTGCGCCGGGCAGCTCGGACACATTCGAGCAACACAAATGACGGTGCTGATGATGATGGTGGTGATGGTGGTGATGGTGATGGGCTCACGCTGAGGCCGGAGGATCTACGGTTTGGTCTCTCGCAGGTGCGATCACGTGCGACAGGCGGCCATCTCGTGTGTTAGTGCTCTTGTGTCGACGATAAGCTGCTGCTTGTGCAATGGAACTTTGCCATCTACACACGTATGTTCACATGCTCGTACACATGTGTGTATGTGTGTTTGTTTGTCTGTTTGTTTGCTTGTTTGTGTGCTTTTGGGTGCATGGGCGGGCGCAGACGCGGCCGAGCGCGATGCGGGAGGTTGTTGTTGATGTGCCGCGGGTAACGTGGGCGGACATTGGCGGCAACGACGACATCAAGCAGTGCTTGAAGGAGGCCGTCGAGTGGCCACTCAAGTACTCGGACGCCTTTGTGCGCCTGGGCATCAGGTCGGGGCAGCGTTGTCTCTGCTTGGCCTTGGTTTGTGTGCGTGCTTGCTTGTTTGCTTGCTTGCTTGCTTTGGTTGGTTGGGGGCCTGTGCGGTTGCCTTGTTCTGGCTTGTTGGCACCTTGTTTGATTGTTTGCGTGTTTGATTGTTCCTTTTTGTGTCTGTCCCTCTGCGCCTCTATCCTTTTCTCTGTGCACAGCTAGCCGTTTTTTGCTTCCGCTCACACGTCATGCCGCTTGCAGACCTCCGAGTGGCATTCTGATGTACGGCCCACCGGGCTGCAGCAAAACCCTCATGGCCAAGGTGCGTCCAACACTGCAATGGCTTGCTTCTTTGTGTGGTCACTGCTGCGGCGTTGTTGTAACCGCACTCGACACGACATTGGTTGCTTCTCGGCTGCAAGTACTGACTGTAAACATGTCTTCTGTGCTGCTGGTGTTGTCGTGTTGGTTGCTCGTTGATGGCAGGCGCTCGCCAACGAAAGCCACATCAACTTCATTGCCGTCAAGGGCCCTGAGCTCTTCAGCAAGTGGGTTGGCGAGAGTGAGCGGGCTGTGCGCGAGGTGTTTCGCAAAGCACGAGCTGCAGCCCCATCCATCATCTTCTTCGATGAAATCGGTGAGGGAATGCGTGGATGTTGGTTTGTGTGTCTGTGTGTGTCTGTGTGTGTGTGTGTGTGTCTGTCTGTGTCTGTGTGTCTGTGTGTGTGTGTGTGTCTGTGTCTGTCTGTCTGTCTGTGTCTGTGTGTCTGTGTGTGTGTGTGTCTGTGTGTGTGTGTGTGTGTGTGTGTGTGTGTGTGCGTCTGTGTCTGTGTGTGTGTGTGAGTGTCTGTCTGTCTGTCTGCCTGCCTGCCTCTGTCTGTCTGTCCGTCTGTCTGTTGTGCGTTCCACATGCTTGTCTGTATGTCCTACACGGCTTCTTGGCAGTCCTCCTGCACACGTTCTCACATGCGCCTGCGCCGTTGTGCTGCTGTGCAGATGCGCTTGGTGCTCGCCGCGGATCGGGCCAGGGCAGCAGTGTTGCCGATCGTGTGCTAACACAGCTGCTGGTTGAGATGGATGGTGTGGATGAACTGCGCAATGTCACGGTGGTGGCGGCGACCAACCGCCCGGATATGGTGGATGCCGCTCTCCTTCGCCCAGGACGGTGCGTACGTGTGTCTGTGTCTGTGTCTGTGTCTGCGTGCGTGTGTGTGTGTGTGTGTGTGTGTGTGTGCGTGTGTGTGTGTGTGTGTGTGTGTGTGTGTGAGTGTGTGTGCGTGTGTGTGTGTGTGTGTGTGTGTGTGTGCGCGTGCGCGTGTCTGTGTGTGTGTGTGTGTGTGTATGAGTGTGTGCGTGTGCGTCTGTGTCTGTGTCTTTGACTGTCAATCTGTGTCTGCCTGTCTGTGTCTGTGTCTGTGTCTGTCAATCTGTGTCTGCCTGTCTGTGTCTGTGTCTGTCATATCTGTCTTTCCGTGTTTGTCTGCCTCCTGCACCTCTCTTTGTCGCCATCCGTGCCTTTGGCCGTGCCTTTGTCCGTGCCGTCCAGTGTGGCTTTTCCTCCTCGCTCATGCCTCGCGTGCAAACAGGTTTGATCGCAAGGTGTATGTTGGCCCACCGACGGCGAGGGCACGCGCCGAGATTCTTCGCATGCATTTGTCCCGCGTCCCGCACGCCAGCGACGTGGACGTGCATGACCTTGCTGCCCAGTGCGACGGCTTCTCCGGTGCAGAGGTTGCGTCAATCTGCAGAGAAGGTACAAAACCTGGTGTGTGTGTGTGTGTGTGTCTGTGTCTGTGTGTGTGTGTGTGTCTGTGTCTGTGTGTGTGTGTGTGTGTGTGTGTGTGTGTGTGTGTGTGTGTCTC